CCTCCCGGTGTTCATCCATTTGCTCGAGCGGGCCCAGTAACGCCTCCATTGTGAGACTTTGTTGTGACTGTCCTTGGCATATCGAATACACCACAGGGAGCTTGCCAGGCTTTGTTGTTCGGGTGAGATACTCTAAGTAGATTGCAGGCTCTCCGAGAGGGGCGGAGGAATCGAACTCGGGTCAGCCACGTGCAAGGCAAACACCTACCCGCTGTGCTATGGAACATCAAACCCGCAAAGCAGAGGCCCGAGGCCCAGCACTTCATCCTGGCTCCGTCGCGGACCCTTGGCAGCCCTGAGAAGCCCTCCTGGATTTCTCTGAGAAGGAAAGAGCCCGGCCCAGCACCTGCGAACACATCCACTGCTGCTCTCAGGGAAAGCCGGGCTGGGAGAACCCCGGGTCGGGTGTCCAAAGTGTTTCCCCTGAGTTTCGGCCCATGACCCCTGGCAGGGGGCTTTGTGTCCCCCCATCCCCCGCCCACCCTGCCTCAGTCACTCCCCATCCTCCCACCCCCTGAAGGCCAAAACCCTTTAGTATGGCCCCTTTCTGTGCTCTAGGTAGGAAAATCTTCACGCCCTGCCCTTGGAGTCTCTCCACATCTCTCCTCACCCCCACATCACGCCAGAGTCCCCCCCACCCACCCACCCCTGCCAGAAAGTCCCCTTCCCTTTCATGCCTCAGGGCCTTTGCACCTGCCATCTCTGAGTCTGCAGTGCCCTACTCTGGTCACCCTGAGGCATTTCCCTAGCAAGGTCATTCAAGATCTTTCTGAGTTTCTTCAGGGGCCAGCCCACACCCCGGTGCCCAGGGGGGAAGGTGCAGCCCAGAACTGGGGTGCGCAGGGGGCCCACCCCACAGGTTAGGGTATTTCTCGGTCCCTGTCCTGGGTCCTGCAGAGGCTGTTCGCCGCCATCCCAGTGGAGACCAGGGCATGTGCTGTTTTTCACATTCCACATGCAACCTGCCTTTTAGCCCCCACGCAAAGGTGGTTTGCACCCTCCCTGCTGTGCTATAGCTCCAGCCCATCTCTGGAGGGTCTTTACTACCTGCTGACTTCTCTTGGGTGGGTGCAGGTGCATGTGGGCAACAGCTGCTAAGCCGCCCCTTTCTGAGAAGGTCACACCAGGTGGGGGTCTTGGGATGACGCCCGGGGGTATAGGCAGAGCCAGCCCAGCCTTCTGCCACCCCTCCCCCACTTCCCACTGCTCAGAGGAGGCATCGGGGTGTGTGTGTGGGTCCTCTCTGCCCTCACTGACACACAGTGGGACTGCAGTTGGTGCTTTGGTGACCCGAGGCTCAGAGTCCCTGTTGGACTCAGTGTTCTGGCTGCCACGGCTGCAGGGTCCCGGGCCCCTGTGGGTGGTGGTGGTGGAGTGCCCCTGGCCTTGACCTGGAGAGTCAGCCTCATCACTGGTCATGCAGGGGGAGGAGGGCTCAGCCGGCTTCTGTGGGAGACGGGGGTGTGGGCAGTGAGCAGGCTGGGGGTGGACAGATACCGCCTGTGAGCAGCTCTGTTCTTTGAGATGGGGTCCACAGGGGTTCATGCCCATGGATGGCAGTGATCACCCCCCGTCTCGAGCCTCCCCGCCACCACACACACACACACACACACACACACACACACACACACACAATGGGAAGCCAAGAGGGTCCCCTGGCTCCCTGGTCTCTTTGCAGGAAAATCCACCGTCTCCACGGTGGAGTTGTCCCTGCTCACCCACGTGCCCCAGGGCCTTTGCATGGCCTTGCCCCTCGGCTAGCTCAGCCTCCTCTAGCATCACCCGTCAGACCTCAACTCCAATGTCACTTCTCAGGGAGCTTCTGGAACCCCACAACCTGCTCCTGGGTTGCCACCCATAGCCTGAGCTGATCCTTTTTTATTTATTTATTTTTAATTTTATTGAATCACCGTGAGATAGTTACAAGCTTTCATGGTTGGGTTGCAATCACACAATGATCAAACACCCATCCCTCCACCAGTGCACATTCCCCACCACCAATATCCCGCTATAACCCCCCTTTCCCACCCTCCCCCTGCCTCCATGGCAGATAATATTCCCCATACTCTGTCTCTACTTTGGGCCATTATGGTTTGCAATACAGACCCTGAGAGGTTATCATGTTTGGTCTATCATGTACTTTCATCACACATCTTCCATCCTGACCGGTTCCTCCAGCCATCATTTTCTTAGTGATCCCCTCTCCATTCCAGTTGCCTTCTCCCCTTTGCTCACGAGGCAGGCTTCCAGCTATGGCGCAATCTTCCTGTCCCATGTATCTACTATCCTTAGGTGTCAGCCTCATGTTATGTTGTCCTTTTATACTCCACAAATGAGTGCAGTCCTTCTATGTCTGTCCCTCTCTTTCTGACTCATTTCACTCAGCATGATACTCTCCATGTGTATCCATTTATAAGCAAAGTTCGTGACTTCATCTCTCCTGACAGCTGCATAGTATTCCATTGTATAGATGTACCAAAGCTTCTTTAACCAATCATCTGTTCTAGGCCACTTGGGTTGTTTCCAGATTGGGCTATTGTGAACAGTGCTGAGACTGTCCTTAACAAGTGCTGTGTTCACTGACTCAGAGGGCCAGGCAGTGGGGATGTCTGGGCACGGGGGTCCTCCACACCCCACCCCTATGAGTAACAGGCAGAAGCCGTCATATTCTAGCCTCTGAGAACTGGGTCCAGGGCCCCCGCAAGCCCGCAGTCCTCTGCCTTGGGGTGTCCCGTGGGGATAGGTGCACCTCTTGGCCCAGCTGTCTGGAGGCCAAGCCTGCTGGGGGGCGCAGGGTCCTCACTCAGCCCTCGGAGCACTGGGGTGCGGGCAGACATGACCCACACATACGGCTCGATGCCTCCTATGAGTAGCGGGAAGTGGGGGGCAGAGGGCTGGGCTGGCTCTGCCTACACCCCCGGGCATCACCCCAAGGCCCCCGCCACCTTCTCAGAAAGGGGGCAACTTAGCAACTGCCCCCACAACTGGAAAGGTTCCCCCAATGCGATTTGTGGGTGCCTTGTTCTGGTTTTGTTTGGGGACCATACCCCAAACCCGGGTTCCTCCTGGCTCTGCACTCAGGCATCACTCCTGGCAGTGCTGGGGATGCGTTGGGATGCCAGGGCTCGAACCCGGGTTGGCCAGTGCAAAGCAAGTGTCTCCCTTCTGTGCCCTGGCTCTGGCTCCCCCTTGTTGGGTGTTTTTTGTTTTTTTGTTTTTCTTTTTGGGTCACACCCAGCGATGCTCAGGGGATTTCCTGGCTCTGCACTCAGGAATCACTCCTGGCGGTGCTTGCGGTACCCTACGGGATGCTGGGGATTGAACCCAGTCGCCTGTGTGCAAGGCAAACGCCCTCCCCGCTGTGCTATTGCTCTGGCCCCCTTGTTTTTTTGGGGGGGTGGGGGACTCAGGAATTCGGGGGTCACTCCAGTGGTGCCTGATCGGGGCTGACTGCTCCATCTGGCCGTGCAATGCTGGAGGTCAAACTCGGGGCCTCGCGTCTGCTCGGCAGCCCCCTGGGTCCTGACACCCCCACCCCACCCCTGCCTGCGGAGATCTTCGGGTTTTCTCTTCCTAACAGCTGAGCCCCCACAGGCATAACTCAGGGGATGGTAGAGACCTCACTGAGAGGGAGAGGAAGGGGCTGCGAGCCCCCCTCCTTTTCCCAGGCTCACATCCCCGCAGGCCCCGCCCCCGCCCCGCCAGGACTCTGCAGAGTTGGGGGTGGGCTGAGCGGCCCAGGGGCACTGAGACCAGGAGGCTGGTTCCCTTCCCACGGCCCGGTGCAGCGCGTCTCTGGGCCTCATTGACAACAGCGGGCCGAGGGCACGGGGCAGCAGTTCCCTTAGGGCACAGATGGGGTGGGCTGGGCCCGCTGGACAGGCAACTGACCCGCTCTCGCCCGCCGCTCCCAGGAACCGGGGTTCGGGCAAAGCTGCGCGGGGCTGGAAGTCTCTGACTCCTCCTCAGTTCCCCGAAGGGTGCGCGCAGGTGGAGCACTGGGCGCAGAGCCCCGCAGGCCCCTAACCTGGAGAGTGGGCAGGGCGTGGGGGGAGGGAAACTCAGGGGAAGGGCAGGGTCCAGGGACAGGACCACAGGCTTCAGGGAGGGGGTCACTAAAGGCAAGTGGGCCCTTCCTCCTCCTCCTCCTCCTTCCCTAACATCCCTCCTCCTCTTTCTCCTCTCCCTCCTCCTCTTCCTCCCTCCTCCTCCTCTCTCTCCCCCTCCTCCCTATCCTCCTCTTCCCCAGGTCCCCTCCCCTCCCTCCTCCCCTTCTCCTGCTCCTCCCCTTCTTCCTCTTTCTCCTCCCTCCCTCCTATCTCCTCCTCTTCTTCCTCCTCCCCTTCCTCTTCCTTCTCCTCCCTCTCCCCTCCTCCCCATCCTTCTCCTCCGCTCCCCCAGTCCTCTCCCCCTCTTCCTCCTCCAGCTCCTCCCTCTCCCCCTACTTCCACCTCCTCTTCCCCTCCCCTTCCTTTTCCTCCCCCACCCCTCCCCCAATCTCTCCCCCTCCCTCCTCCCCCTTCTCCCATCCCTCCTCCTCCTCCTCTGTCCCCTGGGCTCTGCCCCTGAAGCTGAGCGGTGGGTGAAGGCGGTAGCGCCCCCAACAAGCTGCAGAGCAGCCAGCAGAGGGCGCTGTCGAGTAGGCAAGGAGCGGTCAGCGCACTGGACATGGGCACCCAGAGGAAGCACACAGGTCATCAAGGACGCGCGGAGGCCTCGGACCCAGCACCCCGACTCACCCAGGCTGAGCCACTCCCTGCCCCACTGTGGGTTTGCTCCCGGAGAGCCCAGCCCCCGGGTTCCAGCAGGCACCGCCAGGTGGGGGGTGAGGTCACGAAGCAGCCCCCACTCCAGCCTCAGGCGGGGCACCGGGCCCCCAAATGCAGCCCGACAGGCAGCTGGGGAAATGGCCGAGGGAGAGAGAGAAGCAGAACAAGTGAGTCCCCCAGATGAGAGCAGAGGGCAGCAGGGTCCAACCCGCCTCCTTTTAATTCCGTCTCGAGAGGGTCTGTCCACGTGGGGGGCGTCCCCGGCCGCTCACACCAGCGCCCAGATGCCCTCCACCTTCTCCCGGTACAGGTGCAGGAACTGCTTGGCCAGACAGCGGAAGGGGGCTTCGAAGTTCTCCATCTCCTTCTGCGGGGAGACACGGGGAAGGTTAAGGGGGGGACTCCGGGACGCCCTGGCCCCCACTCTGCGTGAGCCTCCCCCTGGGGGCTACCCACGCCTCCCCCCATCGTGGCCCCCAACATGGGGCGCCAACCTGGCCCCACTCCCAGGGAAAACAGGCACGTAGGGGCTAAGGCGTGGGCGGGGCGGGGTTCTAGACATCTCCGTGGGGCGGCCTGTGCCGCTGGGCTTGGGGCCAGTCTCTGCAGCGGTGTGATCACCGGATGCTAGAAGGACCCTTGCTTGGTCCACACAGAGTCCGGAAGCCAAACAACCCGAAGGGAAGAGCAGCTGAGACCGGAGCGCGAGCAGACAGCAGGGGGCGCTGCCTCCAGCCAGCAGGGACCGTGGTCCACTAGGGGCGCTCAGAAGGGATGGCCAGGCCTGCAGGCTGCAGGAGGGGCCTGAGGGCAGAGGGTCTCTGGGTGAGCTCAGACAAGAGCTGGGATGTGCCCTTGATTTTTTTTGCTCTAAGGGGGAGAACTGACCACCTTAGTTCGGGGGTCCCTGAGACGGGGCAGGTGGGGGTTGGGCTCAATCATGAGGGGCACCAACAGGACCCCCGGAGCCCCCAGTCGCTGCCACCTGTCCAGTGTGTGCAGGGGGTTTCTACAAGTCTATTTTGGTTTGGGTTTGCTTTGAGAGGGAGCCACACCCGGCGGCGCTCAGGGCCAACTCCCGGCTCTGTGCTCAGGGGTCACTCCTGGAGGGGCTCGGGGAACCATACATGGCACCAGGGATGGAACCCGGGCTGCTGTAACCCGGGCTGCTGTGAGTGAGGCCGGCGCCTCGATCCCTGTTCTATCTTTCAGGCCTTTACTGATGTAATTTTTTCTATTGAGAGAAGTTGGCAGCAGGGGGGAGTTACGGAGCCCAGACACTGGTCTGGGATGGTCCCTGGAGGGTGCTGGGAGGCACAGGGGTCCTGGGGCACCGGGGAGGGGGGCTTTCACTGCAGCTTTCACCAGCATGCAGTTCCGGGACTGGGTTTCTCTCCCCTGTTACAGGATACCAGGGGACTATCTCTCAGCGGGCACTGGGCTGTACTGTCTTATTTTTGAGGGGTGAGTGGGGAGGGGACACACCTGGCGATGCTCAGGGTTTACTCCTGGCGGTGCTCGGGGGACCCTATGGGATGGTGGGGATCGAACCGGGGTCGGCCGTGTGCAAGGCAAACGCCCTCGCCGCTGTGCTATTGCTCTGGCCCTGCAACAGCAGAATCCGGATCGTTTCCCAGATGCAGCCATAGAGCTACTGGTTTGTGGCCTTGGAGCTGGGTCGAAAGTGGCCCCCAGGGGGCTGGAGCGATAGCACAGCAGGTAGGGCGTTTGCCTTGCACACAGCCGACCCGGGTTCAATTCCCAGCATCCCATATGGTCCCCTGAGCACGGCCAGGGGTAATTCCTGAGTGCAGAGCCGGGAGTAACCCATGAGCATTGCTGGGTGTGACCCAAAAAGAAAATTAAAAAGTGGCCCCCAGGATCCTCATGAACTGACCCCCTGACTTGTGGGGAGCCGATGCCAGGCAGGTGGACAGGGCCAGGAATGAGGTTCGAGCTGTAGTCCCGAGTGTCTGGGGCTGGGCCAGGCCTGCGGAGAGGAAGCACCATCAGCCCCTCCGGGCCCTTCCGGCTCTGAGCTGGAGGTTCCGAGCCCACCTGCAGGGGGAGCTCTACCCACATCCAGGAGGATATCTCCAGGGAACTTCCACATCTGGACCCTGGAGTTGCGGGAAGGTGGGGACCTCAACGTTCCCAAGGAGGACTCAGGGGTCCAGCAGCAACGGACAGTCCAGAGCAGAAGCGTGTGTATGGGAGGGGCCAGAAACAGGTCACTGACTGGAGTCAGAGGCGAGGGCCGCTCGTCCAGACACATCTGCGGAACTGTGACCACAGGGAAGTCACTTCCCCCACACCCAATGCAGACACCTGCCTCACGGCCCCCATGGGAAAGTGGGTTCCACCACCAAAGCCCATGTGAGGTCAGACAAAGGTCGGGAGCACCAACACCGACAGACACCCCAAAACCCGGACGGCTCAGGCCCGGACACAGAACCTGCACGGTGGAAAGGAGGGAGGACATTTCCGGTTCTGCTAGGGCGAGATCTCGAGCCCAGGAGGAAAGTCGCTTCCCCCCCACCGCCCCGGAAAGATTCCCCAATCCGGTGGTGGCAGGGTGCTTGGCCTTGGGGCGGGGGGGTCCCCTGCTCCAAGCTGGGCGAGGGAGGGGACTCACCACGGAGGTTTCAAAATATTCCAGGCCTTGGCCCAGGGCCCAAGTCCGGGCCTCCACCGCATCCACGGTCCTCCGGCCGGTCAGGTCTGTCTTATTTCCGACCAGCACACCTACTCGAGACAAACGAGCTCAGAGATAAGGATTCAGTTAACGGTGGGGGGGAGGCAGGGAGGGAGGAGAGGAAGGGCGAGGATGCTGAAGGAGGGGTGGCAAGGCAGGAGAGAGGTAGCCAGTGGGGGGGAGGGGGGCTTCCCAGATGACCCCCCCCAGCAGGCTGGGCCCCTCCCGCACCCCTCCCTCGGAGGACATCTGTGTCCCTCTCCTGGGGCCAAATGACGGGGGGCCTTTGCGCTCGTTCCTCGCTCATGGAGCAAACTTCAAAATCGGTCATTAATACTAATCTGAGAACCGGGCTGGGAGTCAGGCAATCGAGCTGTGTTCCCGGCTGCATCCACGGCCGCTAATTTCTGAGCCCGTCCCTGGGGAATGGCTTTCCCTGGTCCGTAATGAGCGGGATTTGTTGATCTCTCAGAGAGGATGCGAAATCCACGGATCGGAGGCATTCAGGAAAGGCACCGGGGCCGGGATGTTTACTTTCACCCCAGCGACAGGAGAAAACCAGGCGGCTGGGCTGTTTTCTTGGGGCTGGCTGGAAATCACAGCCCAGACGCACACGCGCCTCCCTGGGGACAGAGCCAGGCGGGAGGACCCGGCTGACAGGCTCAAGAGGGTCTCGGGGGTCCCAGAGCTCCCGGGACAGCCCAGACCACCATGCCCACCGCCCCTGGTGCGCTCGGGCCCGCTCAGACACCTGGGCCAGAACCCGCAGCCCTGGAGGGCGCAGAGGGCCAGGGCAGCTGCGGGAACGTCCGGTTCTGGGGGTCCTTACCTGGGAGGGAGACGCCGTGGCTGTGCGCCCGCGCCTTCTCCAGCCACTTGGCGCAGCTCTGGAAGGACTGCTCGTTGGTCACGTCGTAGACCAGGCACAGCAAGTTGGGGGCCTCCCACTGCGCAGAAGGACAGAGTGAGCTGGCCCTGGCCATGAGGAGGGGGGAGGGCACAAAGTCGGCCCTCCAGAAAAGCGGCTGGGGAAGAGGAGACAGTGTCCTTCGGGGCCAGAGGTGGGCACGGCAGGGCCAGCTCGGCGTAGGGCGGGGCTGGGCAGGGAGAGGGGGCGAGGGCTGGCGCCCAGGAGGAGGGCAGGAGAGGGTGACAGGCTTGCCCCATCACCTTCTTGCCCCAGAAATGCTTCCGGCAGCCCGATGCATTCATGCATCTTCCACTTACTGGGGGCCCACGCACGCATACACGCACGCGCGCGCACCCGCGCACGCATGCACGCGCACGCACCAAGCCACAGTGCCTTTCTGCTGTGTGGGGGCTAAGGGACTGTCCACTCTCTTGCCCAGCTGCTGGCCCTTGGTCCCTCTCAGGAGCGCTGCTTCCCATAATGCACTTTCTCCAGCCATGATGCCAACTCCTCCACCATCCCCCCACGGGGCTCTGCTTGCAGGGGTCCTTGGTTGGCATGCTGGGGTGTCCTGCTGCCTGTTAGTGGGGACAGAGGACAGCTCTGCTGGACCATGCACAGAGGAGCCGGGGGGACTCTTGGCCAAGGCCCTTAGGCATAAAGCACCACGCAACCTGGCTTATTTCTGGGGTGCCAGGAAGCACGTAGGGTGCGAGGAGCAATCTCGGCCGCTCAGTTGTCCTTGAAAGCCAGCTCGGGGTCAGCTGCCTTCCAGGCCCCTCGTGATGCCGCCGGCTCCAGGGACTGGCCCAAGCCTCTCACTTTTTCACCCCCCACAGGAACTCACGGGCTCTCACTAAAGCCACTCAGGTTTGACCTGGGAGAGCCTGGGCTGTGGGCTGGCTGGAGGGATGGGGTGAGGTGATGGGCTTGGGCCCCAGACACGGCCACCCCGAGGACCTGGCTCAGGCCCCGGCAGAAGCAGCTGCCCTGGGTACGGATGCTACTTGCTACTGTTTCTGGTGGAGGAGCAGAGGAAACTAGCGAGTGTTAAATTGTAGCTGTTCTTGGAAGGGCAGAGGACGGCTCCAGAGAGCTGGGTTCTTCTAATTAGCTGCCTGGCCCAGATTAGCAGAACGGTTACCTTGAAAAGTACAGGACGCTGGATGTGAAGAGGCCGGCCAGAGGGACATGAGTCCGGGAAGGCACCAGGCAGGTCCGGGAGCAAGCCCAAAAGGGGAGGGGTGTGGGGGTGAGGGACCGAGCCTGGAAGTGGGGAAGCCCATGATAGGGCTCTCGGGCGCCCCCCAGAGGGCAAGGAAGCATTTGCACCTGGGAGGCTGCAGGTCAGGGCTGACATCACTGTATCACTGTATCACTGACATCTGTATCACTGTCATCCTGTTGTTCATGGATTTGGCTGCCAGTAACGTTTCCATTTGTCCCAGTGAAAAACAGTAACGATAACGGGTCTCATTCCCCTGACCCTGAAAGAGCCTCCAATAAGGCAGCGTTGGGAAAGACCAGTAAGGAGAGGCTGCTAAAATCTCAGGGCCGGGACATAACACACCAGGAAGAAATGCCGTCTTCAGGCAGAGAGGGTGACTCAGAGGAGAGGGTCCCAGAGTGGGGCGCCCCAGGGCTGAGCACAGAGCTGGAGCGGGGTCCATTTGCAACAGGGACATTCCAGCAGTGGGGCAGGGGGCCATCACCGACATGAGAACACCCCTTCATGAACATCTCCCCTGTGACTTCTCTTGGCGGCCGGGGGGATTTTGTGGGAGCAGAGCTTGAGTGGGGTCCAGCCCTCGGGGATGGGAGGTGGGGACGGGCTGGGGGGTCAGGACAAGGCTGCATGCCACTTGCCAATTTATCCAGCATCTCAGAAAACAGCTCCTTGCCGGCCGAGTCGAAAATGAAGAATTCCTAGAATCACCAAGGAATAGGACCCAGGAGGTCAGGCCGAGGGCACCGTCACTCGAACCCTCACCCCCCAGACCCCGGGGAGAGAGGCCCCTGCACGTTTCTGTCTGGGCTCACCATGGAGGAGGCCGGGTAAGGGCCCACCGTGGGGTTCGAGAGGTTGGAACATCTGCTCTGGGTGGCGTCTGCCCACCCACCCCAACCCCAAAATGCTGGGAATAGGGCTGACTTCCAGCCTGGCGGAAATGCTCAGACACGGTCATCGTGGGCTCTGCTCGCCAGAGGTCCCGGGGCACTGTGTTAACCACGTGCCGTCTCGAACCTGGAAGCGATTCACCCGATAGGCAGCCAGTGTAGAGGCTGGGGAAGGTGCTGGAAGTCGGGCAGGCTGAGCTGCTGCTCCCCGAGGCCCGAGGGGTGACCGTGGCAGTCAGCCCATGAGTGCTCCAGTCTCATTGCAGGACACAAAGTCTCCGAGATTTCCTCCTGGATGGCGCCAGCCTGGTTCCCCACCGGACCCCCCAGTGCAGCTACAATGTGCTTTGCGGAGCGGGGTACTTGGAACTGGACTGGGCTCAGGGAAGCCTTTGGGAATCTAGTAATTCTTTATTCTGTGTGTGTGAGTGTGTGTGTGTGTGTGTGTGTGTGTGCATGCATGCATGCACGCATGGGGAAAGTGGTTCTCCCAAGCAATGTCCAGAGGGGGAGCCCCGTTCTCAGGGTGATACTCAGCGAGCTGATGTTGTTTGGCCTCAGCAATGCTGGGCTTGGGGTTCCCAGCGCCGAGCCAGCCAGGCGACCCCCGCCCCGGCGGCACTCAGGGAACCATGTGTAGCTGCAGATGGAGTTTGGGGGGGTCACGGCTGGGAAGCACATGCTCTAGCCCTTGGTGCTATCTTCTCGGCCCCCAATTCGGCCATACTGACCCCTTCTCTTGGGGAAATGAATGCAACATGCCAATTCAGGGAGCAGAACCGGGCTTCCCAGAAGGACCTGGCTAATCACACCCGGTAGACAGTCCTCCTGCTTCTCTGTTCAGAACCTTCCAGAACTGCTTTCGGGGTTGACCGTTCCGTTCCCAAAAGCTCAGGCCATGTCCCTGCAGGCTGTCCCCCACCAGGGTAGCAGTGGGCAGGCCGCCCCGGGGACGGGATGGGGGCTCAGGCATCACTTACCACACTGTCCATCGTGTCTGGAACAGTCACTGTCTTCACCACCAAGTCCACCCCCGTGGTCTGCCAGGGAGAAACAGGAACACTGGAGTTGGGGCGGGGGGGTGGGGAACAGAAGCCCCTGCCCAGACCCCAGGGGCACAGCCCCTCCCTGTTGAAGTACTGGTACTAGGGTTAGGGGGCCTCACTTGGGGCTTGTCCATCCACCTCCCAACCCGGGAGCGAGCCTCACATGACACCCAAGACAGCCCAGGACCTCCATCATGGTCAGCTCTGTACCTCGCAGCATCCACCTGAGTCGCTCAAGAAAATGTCCCCCCTCGGGGCACCGGCGCCCCCCTTACCAGCGTGTAGTTCTTCTGGAAGAGCGCTCCATCTGTGCGGAACATCTGGGCCAGCGCCGTCTTGCCCACAGTGGGGTCGCCTGTGGGGTCCGGGGAGGGCGACATCATCCCCTCCGAGCGTGATGAGCAACCGTCACCACCCTCCCCCAACCGTCCATGCTTTTCCAGAGTAGAGGGAGCGGCCAGCAGGGACGGCAGGAGGGTCACTGACAGGAGAGGGTATCTGTGCCCCAATGTGCAGCCAGGAGGGTGCTGAACCCTGAACCCAGAGACCTGCCAGCAAGAAACATCCCCAATGTGGGCGAGGGGGGAACACTAGACTTTGGGATCCTGAAGGAAAACAGGGCAGAGGGTTAGTTCTGCTGGACACAGAAGGAGTTAAGCTTAATTAGTCCACCTCACCTCCCTTGTGTGTGTGTGTGTGTGTGTGTGTGTGTGTGTGTGTTGGGTCCACACCCAGAGATGCTCAGAGCTGATTCCTGGCTCTGTGCTCAAGCACCACTCTTGGCATGGCTCGGAGAACCATCTGACCCTCTGTGATACCGGGCATCAAGCCTGGGTCAGCCACGTGCAAGGCAAGTGCCCAGCCTGCTGTACTAGGGCTCTGACCCCATTCTGGGTCTTCTCTTAACTGCCCAGCTTGTCCATCTGAGTCTTGCCCTGCTGTCATCCGACGGGGCGGTCCCTCCACTCCTGGGGACCAGGCATGTCCGTCTAGCTGCCATGGCTTGCGGGAAGCTAGTTCTCTCTTTCCAAGTTGTGACTTCCCCTGGAGACCCAGCACCTGTCCAGCTTTGGGGCGGAAGTGGGGGTGGGTGCAGTGCTTCAGCCCCTTCCCTCCCCCTGCACAGAGACCACCCGACAGAAGAGACGAAGAAGCGGGACCGAGAGCAGAACACCAGCTCCTCTCTGCATCAGGCCCGAGGGCACTTGTGACCACCTTTATTTTATTTTAGGTTTGGGGGTCACACCCGGTGGTTGCTCAGGGCTGACTACTTCTGGCTCTGCACTCAGGGATCACTCCTGCAGTGCTCGGGGGTCCTGGGGGATGCCGGGGATGAAACCCAGGTCAGCCGCGTGCAAGGCAAGCGGCTGCCCCGCTGGACTATCGCTCCGGCCCCACTGTGACTGTCTTTTAATTTTTTTTTCTTTTTGGGTCACACCCAGTGATGCTCAGGGGTTCCTCCTGGCTCTGCACTCAGAAATTACTCCTGGCAGTGCTCAAGGGACCATATGGGATGCTGGGAATCGAACCCGGGTTGGCCGCGTTTAAGGCAAATGCCCTCCCCGCTGTGCTATCACTCCAGCCCCCGTTTTTTTTTTTTAAGCCCTTCATCACGCAGCTTCCCCCGAGTTAGAGTGTAGCCGGGCACCCCTTTATCTCCCAGCATGCGAACACCCCTCCCTCTTTGAGGCTCTCACACAGCTTCGGGGCCCAGCCAGCGGGAAGCTGCTTCTCCCTCCTGCGTGTGGGGGGGATTCCATGCTCAGGGCTGGCATCCTGCAGGGATCGCTCCTCTGACGGGCAGCCAGCAGCCCCCCACGCGCCCGAGCAGAGCAGCCGCCTGAGTCGAAGCTGAGCGTCGGGAGGGGGATCCTCGGGGATAAACACAGTCGCGGAGCCTCACGGTGCCAAGTGCCAATGCAGACGGCACAAGCTGAGCCCTGGCGGCCGGGGAGGGTTCAGTGCGTGGGGAAGCGGCCTCCTGAACACGTCCACAGTCACACGCCCCCGCCTGAGGATGAGCGGCCCAAACAACTTCATTTTCCCAGAGGCCTCTGGTTTTTGTATTTAAGGGGCTCTGCGCTCAGGGCTCACGCCTGGCCGGGCTCAGGGGACTGTATGGGGTGAAGGGGATCGAACCCAGGTTGGCAATGTGCAAGGCCAGCGCCTTCCTGTTGTGCCTCTGGCCCTGCATGCAGTCCTCGTGCTTGGCTATTTCTCACCCCTCCCAAAACGGGGCCCCTGGGGTGATGCGGCTCTCCTCAGCCTGGTCAGCCCCGCCGACAACCGTGCATGTTGGCCCTGGGCCCACGGCCCTCCCGAGCCTGGTCTGAGCCCTCCAGGAGGATGTCCCAGGCCCTGCGGCCTCGGAGCACTGGCTGGCTCACATCACCAAGGGTCTGAGCTGTCCCCATGCATTCATTCCCCATGTCCTCTTTCCTCCCGGCTTGCAAGGTCAACCCTGGGTCCCTTGGTCCTGAATGTGGCATCAGCCCATGTGTCCTCAGTCATCTCTGCGGGTGCCACCGTCATCACCGGGGCTTGTCATGCCCGTCCCCACGCCCCACGCGCCTGCTCGGACCCGGGAATACGGGAAGAGGAAGCTGACATACTATGTTACCGGTACACGCGCCGGAGTGGCCATGCATGTGGCTGGCCTGGTTTGAACTCCAGCACTGCCTATGCCCGCAAGAACTGCCAGGAGCATAGAGCCTGAACACCACCAGGTGTGATCCCCAAAACAAGAGGAAGAAAAGGAGCGGGAGAGGGGGCGTGGCCTGAGTCCTGGTTCCAACCAGAGTCCAGGCAAACGTTATTCTGAGCCGCTAAAGGAGCCCCACATGGGTGAGACCTCGGCTTATCCGTTCTAGTAATCCCCAAAAGATACCCGCTGTGCTCCAGACACCGGGGATAGTTGCAGGCAACAGATCAGAGATTCTGTCTCAGGGGGAATCCATGTTCACAGCCTGGGGGGGGGGGGAGTCTGTCCGAAGTCACCCCTTCCCTATCCCACCCATGCTGGTGGGACCATTTGCAAAGGATGTGTGTGTGTGTGTGTGTTCCTGCTCAGTAAAAACTTCACTGGTGTTTCTGAAGCATCCGGGGGATGCTCAGACGAACTTTTTCACGAGTCTTCGCCTTCGGGGTCCAGCTCTCCCTTGCGCGGGGGGCTGGGAGTGCGCAGACAGAGCCTGGCCCGGGAAGCCGAGAGAATCACCCAGGGGCTTGGAAAGAGAATCCGTCCAAGCCGAAGCGACGTGGTCGGGAAGGGCATTAAGTGGCTTTGGGGTGACAGAGGGGGAAGAAGGGGAAAGAACGGGGAGCCAATGCAAGCGAACAAACAGCTCTGGACGCTCCAGGCTCGCGTGCTTGGACTCACCTGCCAGGATGCATTTGGCTGCCAGCTTCACCATGGTAACCGGCCACTCCGGCCGACCCGAGAGGGCCGGGGCTGCGGCCGGGGGCGTCGGCGGGCCTGCCGAGGGCGCTAAGAGCGGGGGGCCTGGGACGGGGGAATGGGCACGGGGACCCCCGGGGTGGGCTGGGGGTGGGCAGCGGCGCTAGGGGCTGGGGTGGCGTGGCACAGGCTCCACGCCTCCGAAAGCAGCCGGGGGAAGTACAAGCGTGGCGGCGCGGCTCCCGCCGCAGGTCCAGCCCCGAAGCCCAAGCCCCGGCTGCGAGGATCGGCAAGCGGGACCCCGAGACCCCGCAAACCCAAGCACGGTGCCAGACGCGCCGCCCGGGCACCGTCACCCTGACAGCCCCGCCTCCGCCGCCTCCTCGCTCGTCGTGATTGGCTAGCGCCACCAAAAGCCCCACCTTCAAGGCGCTCAGCGGCCAATGACAATAGGGGGCGTGGCTGGCATGCCCTTCTCGGGACACCATTCGTCTCTGGAGCTGCTCCTCAAAGTTTTTCCGCACGGCGAATCGTTGCGGGAAGCTGTCAATCATTTTCACTGCCCACCCACCCCGACGGCGTCGGAGCGAGCGTTTCTGGGCGAGGCGGTGGGCAGTGCTGGAAAGCAGCTTTCTGGTTGGCCACACGCCGGCCGGGCCCTTCTGGGGGAGGGCCGGGGGTCCGCTGGCCCCGCCCCTTGGGGGGAGCGCGCTCGCCCTACTGGGCCTGCGCGGTGGCCAGGCGCGCCGGCCGCAGGGGCCGCTCGGGGTAGGCCTGGTCTCCCGGGCGCTGGCCGCTGCCCCTGTGCTGGGTCTGCAGAGCGCATCCCGATGGCCAGAAGCCTCATGCTGGGGACCAGCGCTCTCTAGCCCGGGCGAGGACAGGGATGAAAGCAGGGGACAAAATAGGGGCCAGCGCTCGGCCCGGCTGCGGGGTCCTCTGGGTGCCTCATCGCGGGCAGGGACCCTGGGTCTCAGTCACCCCGGCTTCCGGCGCCCCTCCGGGGGGATCCAGGGGGTCCTGCGGAAGGAGGGGCCCAGATTTGCCCCCACGGCCCCGTGGTAGCCCAGTGCACCCTCGGCCCCCTTCCGAACCTGACACCTGCCCCAGCCCCGCCAGGAGGGGTTCGAGAGACACACGACACCGCCCTCATACACACACACACACACACACACACACACACACACACACACACACACCATCCTGAAACCACACAGCACGGTACCGCCCGCATGATCTGCACCATCCACACCATGAACCACCCCACAGACACTACACGTGACACACCACCCCACACATGACGCACCACCCCACACAAGCTACACCATTGCACAGAGACATCACACACACCACACACACACACACACACACAAGGCCCCAACACCATGCGCCTTCTACACGTTGGTGCACATGATCCCCCACAATGACATCACTAACAGACCACCCTGCCCCCTCCCCCACTCCCGTGTGACATGCCGTCATACAGACATGGCACACATCACCCATAGGACAAACCATGGCACACTGCTACATAGAGCACAGCACACACAGGACCCCTCCACATAGCACACGCCACTCCCAGGACACCCCCTGCCACACACCGCCTGTGTGACAGCCCCCACGGGTGGCACCCTGTCTATACACACACACGTGCCCACTTAACACCGCACAGCCCGCCACACGCATACACACGTGCCACACACACACACACCAGCACCCACGTGCCTCATGCGAGGCGTCTGCCCAGACCCCGAGGCAAACGCTTCACCTTGTCTGGAGTTGTCTTCGCGTGGTCTCGTCCCTTGTGCCAGGGTCAGGCCCATGTCCCCTTCGTCCCCTCGCCTCCTTTTCTTCTCAGGAGACCCCGTATGAGTCTGTCCCAATCCCCCAACCCCCTGACACGCACACGCGCATACACACACACACACACACACACACACACACACACACAATCCTCTTACCTGCCCTCATCTGGTCAGGCCAAAGTCTCTGCCCGTCTTCATGCCTCGTCCTGCAGGCTGCCCTATGCCCTGTACCCCCACACCCCTTCCCACGCCCCTGGGGGAGTCACCCTAACCAGGCCATTGGTGACCCCCGAGATTGCCCTGAGGCCGCCTCTGGCCCCCCACTTCCTCCTCTGCCAGGGCCGTCCCCCTGAACCCACTCCTTCCTCCTTCCTCCCTGGTGATTCCAGCCAGTCCCCTCAGGGACACTCTGCATCCTTCCAGAGGGGCGGTCAGCACCCCCAGAGTGAATCTGCGCCCCCCCCATCCCCATGCACCTTCTCTGTGTTCCGGTGTCCGTGTGACAGCTGAGTAGTGAGTGTGTCTCCAGCATTATCGCCGGAGCTTTGGGGCCGGGAGGGCCCTGGAGATAAGGGGCCCTCATTCCCCTTTGCTGTGGCACCTCGCTGGGGCCTGGGACGGGGGGCGCATACCCTGTGCCTGCCTCCTTGCCAGGGCTTGAGAGAATTGATTCAATATTTGCATCTGGATACTCACAATAATCCTGTGATCTCGGCTCATGGCATCAGAGCCGAGCAGGCAGGCCCAAAGGGGGTTAAGAAATGTCCCAGGTTATAAAGGGAGTGAAGCCCCCCTAATAAAAAAAGGGTAAAAAAGAAGGGGGCATTTGCCTTGCACCTGGCTGACTCGAGTTTGATCCCCGGCAGCCCATCTGGTCTCCTGAGCTCGCCAGCACTGATCCCTGAGCACAGAGCCAGGAGTCAGCCCTGAGCACGGCTGGGAGTGCTCCCCCTCTCCAAGAAACCACCATCCAGGGATCGAGTGGCTTGGGTTTAGCATAGGAAGTCTCGCATGGCCCAGGTGGGGTCCCCTGCACCCCGGGAGCACTCCTGTCCCTCACCTCGCCTGTCCTCCCCTCCTCCTGGGCCAGTGCTCATGCTCACCGAGCAGACCAGGGGGCCGGCTCGACTCAGCCCCTCGCATCTTCTCCTGGGTCAGAGGCCAAGAGGCCAGCAAATGGGCCGCTCGGGTCTTCACTTTCGCCGGTAGGACATGGAGTGTCCTTGGCCAGTGTGAGGCCAAGGGCACGGCCAAGGTCAGCTTGAACCAGACCCCACATGGCCAGGTCCCTGGTCTCTGCGCAATTGAATTCTTCCCCGTTCCATCTCGAGGCTCGTTTTGAGCGCCCCCCGGAGGGCCCAGCTCCAAACCGCCAGCCAGCACCCCAAAATGAAGGTGACCGTGCTCCCACAACTCTGGCTGGTGACGTCCCACGTATTTCCAGAGGAGCCTGGGACCCCCCCTTCCCGCCACCCCATCTCAGGAGGGCCTCCGTGTACTAACCTGCAGGACTGACTATAGGTGACCCCCCCCATGGGCTCCCCCAGCCTCTGGAGAGCTGGAGGCACAACAGGAGGAATGTTCTGGAAGCCTCAGAGGCTTTAGAAGTGAGGATTTAGAAGGCGGAGGCAGAGAAAAGCCCTCCTGGGTGGGGGTTTGGAGTGGGGGTGAGCGCAGAGCGTCTGGGGACGGGGGTGTGTGTGGGGGGATGGTTTGTGCTTCATCGTGAATGGGGCCTTAACAAGAGCTCCGCCCTCTGCATCTGCTCGGCTAAATTTACAGCCGCAGGGCGGAGTGAGCCCGGGCCTGGCCTAGAACCCGCTTTGAGACATTCACCCAACCCCTATTTCTGCAAGTGCTTACTAAGCAAAAGGCACAGAACCGCCCTCACCCCCAGGAAGCTGGGCTGGAGGCCGGAAGTCAGGCGTTAGGTCAGAAGGACTCTGTGTGTGTGTGTGTGTGTGTGTGTGTGTGTGTGTGTGTGTGTGTGTGTGTGTGTTGGGATGCAGGGTCCAGAGGCCTGGGGCTGGTGCTTGTCCATCCTGGACACCCCCCAGACATCACATGGTCCTCCAACGCTCCCCCTCCCTGGGGTGTCACTCTTAAAAAGCAAACAGGATGTCTGTTTGGGGTTCCCGATCCAGCCACAAAGCCTCACATCTCCTGCAGGACCACAAGCCCATGTGTGCCCTCCGACCCCCAACAGCGAAAGGAAGTGGGGGACAAGAGGAAGAAGAAGCCTCCCCTTGGGGCTTCCTCAGCCAGTGACCCCTCACACCAGGCAGAACCTGGTGAGGATGAACTCAAAGCCACCTGCACCCTGGGGTGTCCCCCCCCACCCCCGCCCCCACCCCATGTTTGTGTTAACCTTCCTGGTGATTCTGCCACGAGGTCCTGCACGCAAATCCCGGCTCTCAAGCAGTGCCAGGCAGAACCCATCTGGAATCAGGTTGCTTCACTATTTCTCAAATGCCCACCCAACCCCAAGGCCTTTGCACACACGTTCTTTTCCCTTCTGGCCTCCAGGTCATTGCTCCAATGTCCCCCTCCTGGGAGAGGCCCTCTCCAGCCTCCCAGTCAATTCACTGTCCTGCCTTCTGCACTCACCCTGTCAGATACTGTCTTTGAACACGCATAGTCCACAGAGGACCAGTCCACACATTGGAACCACCACCTTCAAGGACATGTCCCGACAGAGAGTTTGCCCAGTTTCTGGTGCTGTGGTCTGAGGGTTCTGTGCAGCTCTGTTCAGCATAGAGGGCTGCCTGCTGCTCCCCACCTGATACCACGTCTTCTCCCTGGTGACATCTGCCACAACCAGTCACCAACTACTCCTGATCATCCCCAGAAGGACAAAATCCCATGGGATGAGCTGTTTGAGGAGAGAAGGTTGATTTAAAACAAAATTTCTGGGGCTGGAGCGATAGTACAGCAGGTACGGTGTTTGCCTTGCACGCGGCTGACCTGGGTTTGATTCCCAGCATCCCATATGGTCCCCCGAGCACCGCCAGGAGTAATTCCTGAGTGCAAAGCCAGGAGTAACCCCTGTGCGTCGCTGGATGTGACCCAAAAAAGCAAAAATAAAAAGTAAAGTAGGGACAGAGAGATAGCCCAGAAAGTAGGGCATTTGCCTTGCACACGGCTGAGTCGGGTTCGATTCCCAGCATCCCATACGGTCCCTGAGCACCACCAGGAGTAATTCCTGAGTGCAGAGCCAGGAGTAACCCCTGAGCATCGCCGGGTGTGACCCAAAAAGCAAAAATAAATCACAATCACAAATCATCCTGTTATTCGTCGATTGCCTCGAGCAGGCCCC